AGACCCCACCTGGAGCACTGCGTCCAGTTCTGGGGCCCACAGCACAAGAAAGATATGGACGTGCTCGAGAGTGTCCAGAGAAGGGCCACGAGGATGATCAGAGAGCTGCAGCACCTCTCCTATGAAGACAGTCTGCAGAAAAGAAGGCTCCGAGGAGACCTTATTGTGGCCTTCCAGTATCTTAAGGGGGCCTACAAGAAAGCTGATGAGGGGCTTTTCAGGATGTCGGATAGCGATAGGACTAGAGGGAATGGATTAAAGCTAGAGATGGATCGGTTCAGATTGGACGTTAGGAAGTTCTTCACCATGAGGGTGGTGAGACACTGGCACAGGTTGCCCAGAGAGGTGGTGGAAGCCCCATCCCTGGAAGTGTTCAAGACCAGGCTGGATGGGGCTCTGGGCAGCCTGATCTAATGGGAGATAGAATCGTAGATGTCCCTGCCCATGGCATGGTACAATGGAAGGGTGACTCCATGTCCCCACTTTGACACATGGCCATCTTCTTTGTGTGGGCAGTGGTATGTGCACAGCCCCATCAACAGCTGGTTTAGTAAACTGACCACATTAAAAACTAATCTGCAGTTTTGTTTTGTAGAGGAAATTGGAGGCTTCTCGGTCCATCTCAGACCATCGGACTGGTCAATACTGGCACAGAGGGAAAGCACTGGCCAAGGCGCAGAAGAGGGAAGGTGAAAGGTGCCTTGCAGTCACAGCCTGACCACAAAACCCCACCCTCAACTAATTAATTGCACAGTCGGTGCCAAAAATCTATTCCTGCCCTACTAAGTTACAGCCATTTCAAACCATATTTTTACTTCCCTGGTTGTTTGGCAAGAGCGTTATGTTCCTAGCTTTAATTACAGCTATCTAGGGACTCCTAGAGAGACATTTATTTCTGTTATGTTTTTCTTTTGGACTTTATTCACAAAACCAGCAAAGATAAGAATGAAAAAGCTGAGATTTTAAAGAGGAAGGGAGTTTAAATCAGAAATAACCTTTCAAGGAATTTTGGTGAAACATCGTAATCTGAAAACAAAAACTAGAATGTAAATTGAATTTCCTTGGTGTTTAAACTTCCATGTTTTAGTAGAGAAAATCACCCTGCTTGAAACAGACCCAGAAGTTTTGAGAAGCTGATGGAAGTAATGGAGTGTGACGTACATCGCAGGGACAAGGAATCCACTGGAAGAAGCAAGCACAATATCTTTAAGAGGTTGCCAAAACCTGCAGAAGGCTGACATGGGCAATTTCCTCTGAACTGAAGCTACAAGCAACTGAAATAGATGGAAGGCTGTTGAAGTCAAAAGATAGGAGCTTTTTGAGCTGGTACATGAAGTGACCGAGCAGCCAACATTAAAAATACCTAAGTTATAAAGAGCTTGGACCAAGTGCATGCTATATGAATGTGCAGTCACTTAAGATGTTCACATTAAATCATAAAACTGAAAACTTTTCACGTTATGACTTTTATGGGAAGAGACCAAAAATCTACCAGTTAAATTCCCTCCTTACAATATAAACAGGTACAGCTCCAAGGAAATCAAATGCTGCCTTGGAAGGACATGTAGAAGTCATTCAGTGTATCCCAGCTTCAGGACAGCAATTCTCTTCAGACCAGTAGCTCATCCCAGCAGTCTCACTACCTCTTCTAAAAGCAAGATGCTGACAAGAGTCTATGGTGGTAAACAATCCTTTCTCAGTGCAGAAATCGATACAGGTATTCGACTTTGACCACTTTTACTGCTGACACCTAAGCCTATACTGGACTTGCATCACAGTGGGTGGCTGTTGATAAAGCCACTATGACCAGGAGCACTCGCTGCTCTTGGCTGCCAGGTTTTATGGATTGAATTTTTACTGTTTTTGGACAGATGAAGTCAGCCCAGAACTGTATGCAGGCCCTGAGGGATCAGGACCAGAGGCTGTTCTGCACTCACGATACTCTCAGAACGCAGGCTGATAGAGAAGAAACAGTGGATGCATGTATTTGGGATGGATATTACAGGCCAAAAACAAACCACCAACCGAGAAGCTGTTGGAATAGAAAACTGAAGTATTCAGAGATCTACCAGCATCAGCAAAAACCTTTGGCCCAGATGGTGAGTGCACCTACAGACTTTGGATCAAGTTCTAGAGGGAAATTTTGCCATTTGCAAGAGTCATAAGCTTGCTAGACCCATAAAAAATGAAAACTGCAAATGAACTTTTACTGATGACGCTTTAGTTGGGTTTTAAAAAGACACCACTGCAAAAAAAAACAACCAAAAAACCAAAAACCAAAACCCAACCAATCATCCATTTGTATGATTTAAAATCTATATTGGAGGTAGTCCCAAAGTATTTTAGGGTGAAGACAGTAAAGACAAAAAATAACCTTTAAGCAGAATGCATTGGAAAATGTAAAGTGATTGTCCAACTAGGCAACAATCGACTAGTTAGCACAGGCAGCTGAGGTATCATAAGCAGGACTCATTCTTTCTGAGTAAAACTCGGTGGGGTAACTTGAACCCCATCTTCCACCACAATGTCTCTGGTTCATCCTGTTCTAATATTCAGAGAAACAAAGCAGTTCCAAGAGAAAGAACTAGAAGAAAAAAAAGCTGTTATAACAGAAAAAAATAGCCAGGTGGTTTAAAAATTTATCTGGGTTGCAGGGTAGCCATGTTTTTATACTGAAGGTGACAACAAACTGCGTTGAGCAAATCTCTCCATAGAACACTTTCAGGACATTCCGGTTTTTTTCCACAGTGCGTAACAGTATTTTTTTCCTCAGTTCTCTACATTTGGCTTTATACATATGTCAAGGTTCAAACTGGATTACCAGCTTAACTTCTGAACAAGATGCATGTCCTTCCTGCTGCACCCAAGGGAAAACAGATTCTTCAGTCTCTCATCCTTCCCTGTGCTCAAGAAGGGCTCTAGGAGACAGTGTGTAAAAAAACTTGGGAGACTGTAAACACTGAATGCGCAGATTATGCTTAAATACAGCAGACCACTAATGCACCTGTAAAGTATTGCAGTGATTTAGATGACAGACACTTGAAATGACTTTAAGAAAAAAAAAATAAATCCAAACATGAATTGACAGGGATGTGGCCTGGCAGAAACACCTGTTTTGTTGGAAAGGAACAAGAAAACGTTGTTCTCATACTGTGTCACAGTGAGTGAAGTGAGCCCAAATTAAAACAGCTTGTGGAAGTGGTACTTTTCCCCTGCCTTTAAATTTAAGTTGCTTTCTTTGTGGAAGATACTTTCTTTAATGTCTTCATATTTTGGAACAATTTAATGAACGATGCAAGACACATTCCACAGACAAGAGGATTTTCCCAACTGTAATCTATCACTAAGGAGAAGGACAGCAGAAAACCCTCTAACTGAGACTGCCACTGATCTTCAGGGTTGTATTTCTCTCCCAAGATCATCGGACAACACACACTATCAAGAGGATCTGATGCAAGGAGGAGCTGTGTCAGTCATGATAATCCATTAGAAGAATCATAGAACGGCTTGAGGTGGAAGGCACTTTTAAAGATCATCTAGTTCCAACCCCTCTGCCATGGGCAGGAACACCTCCCACTAGATCAGGTTGCTCCAGAGCACGAGATGTGCCTGTGAAATAGGCAAATACAAACTGTACTGCAGCAGGAGGTGCTACCAGCAGAGGCTTCCTCAGGGACCTCCCGAGCAATCTCACTGCTGAATTTGGGTCTAAGGGAACAAAACTAGAACAGATGCAGGGAAGGACCTCAAATACGAGCAAAAATCTAGAAAGCACTGACTAAAAAAGAGTTCAGTTTGTTATGCCTTACAGAACAACGGCTGAGAATAAATCTACCATTTTGGTCTATATGCCGTGCAGAGGGCAAAATGGGAAAAAAGGAAAAAAAGAAAAAAAAAGATTCAACTTACTCTGTAACTGCATATGCAGTACATAAACATTAGTGTTGGTAATATATAGGTACAGATCAGCGCTATCTTAGCAAGATATGTATTAGCAGAGCTAGGGTAGAAATCAAAAGCAGTTATTTTCAGAGCAAAGAGGTTTTCTTTTAGACTCAAGCTTGCCTAAGGAAAAAAAACTATGCAGGCACCTGCTTTTACAGTGTGCTAAGCCTGATAAATGGTTAGGTCCCCTCCCTACTGTTTATGTATCTAGAATATAAGCACCTGTAAACATTTAAAGACACTCATTACGTAAAGCTTATAGATATGGCTCCAATCAAATACATTTGTAAAAACAAGTTCCACAGCAATACAATTAAAGGATAATAAAATATGGCAACTCAGTTTTTTGGCAAAAGTTTTATAATTTTTATATAAAAATCTCAGTAAGAAACCAAGCAGAATATCTGACGGAAACATCTGCCTTACAACAAGTTCAAAAAAAAAAACTCACAAAAGAAAAAGAGGAAAAAAAGAAAAAAAAGAAAAATTCCAACCCCCTAGAATCCTTTTTAATTATAAACCAGAATATCAACAAAACACTTAAAATAATCTCAGATTGTTTGGCAACTCATCACATCATAACAAGAGACACATTTGATCATAAGAAAAGTTTAACTTTATATACAGCTTCACTTGAACATTTGCTCTTACCAGAGTTAATATACATTAAAAAAAGATTCTGGCAATAAAACCAGGTTCTATTTTTAATACCTGTGTATAAAATGTAACATAAAATGCTGAACCTCTATAGTTAGGAGAAGTGAAATTTGATTTCAATGGGTCCCTCTTTGTTGAAAAAGACAAATACCGAAAAAACAGGCATTTAGTTGCAAAATAAAACTGTTTGATTCAGAGTAGTATTGGCTGACTGTGAATAAACCTAACTTAATACTATTTATTTCTTGAGATTGGTAGCAAATTCATAAGTGAAAATATAATCTAGTCAGATTACATTTTAAATTTCATACTTTTGTCACAAATGTGAACAGAAAGGAGTCGAGTCCTTTTCACTATACTAAGCTACTTTAACGCATGCGAGAAAAATACTTTACCAACTGTCTGAGCGTATTTTGGAGAACTTCAGGTTTTAGATAGCCCTGGGGGAGCAGAGGGGAAGTTTCCTACTGACATCTGCATAGAATGTAAAACATATAATTAAAAAAACCCTAAGGTATATACTAAAGTTTACAGACCAATGCTTTCCATATAATAAATAAAATGTCCATCATTGATTAGATTCATACACAGAGTAAAATACAACCTATTTTTACAAGTTTATATACAAAGTGTATTAGTAGGCCCAGGGGTGCCTTATGGGTTGGAAGCATCTGCATTAGCATGTCACATTGGGAAACCCCAACTTTCCAAGTCAGTGATAAAATATATAACTACTTTGTTTTTCATTCAGATACAAAGTAAACTTATTTTTCATCTGAAATAAATTTACATAATATTCTGTATAAACAATAGTTTATAAAGCTGTTTAAAATGTAACTTAAAAGTACTGCATTGATTAACTCAGAGCTCTGAAACAAGCACGTGCAAATCCCTTTGCTTTAAAAAAAAAATAATAGAAGCACAGACTTTTTTATTTTTTTTACTTCTGACTCTTCCATGAACAGCACTAGCTGGTGAAGACTATCGTTTTGCTTTCTTTACTGGTGTCTCCTCTGTTTTCTGCTGGCCTTTTCTCCGTACCACTGTTGGGCTGTCCTCTTCCCTTTTACGCTTGGCAGACTGCACCTTTAACCTGAAAAGCATTATTAATAATTATTTTAACAATGGTAGGACCTGTAAAACAGAAAGGGTGGTCAGACAAAATCCTGTTTAGAGGATGGAACCGAGCTGTCCACCTCTGATGAACTACCAGGATATATTACTTATAAGCTTACTACTGAAACATTCCATAGCAGCACAGACCATAGGGGACCTTGCACACTCCTGTCACACCTTAGCAGGGTACAGTACACAAATTATGTATGTTGAAGAGTGCTCCAGATGTAGAACTTGGGGCTAGAGCTCTCCTCCTTCCTTCTCTTTCTTTTGGGAAGACTTGTGGATTGTAACAGAATACAATGAACTACATTATCTTGTGCTCCATCTCACAAAGATAAAAGAATAGCAACAAAAGCTTAAATTCCATATACATAATAGGGAGTAAAGGGAGGATATCATGTGACCTTATCTCTATTTAAGCATCCATGTACAAGCCCACTACATTTCAGCTGCAACCAATTGTAAGTGTGGCTTAAACACCTGGCAATTCCTAACTATGCAGAGTAATTAACATGAGGTGAACTGTGATGACTGACATACACATGCTCCTGAGATTCACTTAGAAGACAGTGCCACATTTTGGAGTGGATGACAACTCAATGTATTTGGCATATATCTTAGAGGTAAACCACAAGATGAGTTAACACCTGTACGTGACATTATTATTCCTTTACACTGCGATCTCAACTTTAATAATTAAGAAGCGTACTAGACATGGAGTGAAAAGGAAATATTTTCAGAACTCGATATAAGGACTCTAAGGAGTTTCTTCTCTTTTATCAGCTGATCTTAGAAAGATCTTTGTAGCATTAGAATAATGTCATCATATGTTGCTTTAACCTGAACTACAGCTGCTCTTCCCCTCATTCAGGAAAGAATCATAGCTCAAGTTAAAATACTGAGGAACAGCATTTTCAGATTCTTCCAAGAGGCTTCCGAGGGCGGGAAGAAAAAAAAAGTTCTCATCTTCCAAATATTATAGAAAGGAAGAAAAAGAAAGAACGTAAACAGAAGAAAATCCTTTAAAAGCTTTTATATATCACAAGAGACCAGAACAGAACAAAGCCAGATTGCTGTTCAGATTTTGAAGCAGTACATTACATATAAGGAAAGGATCCGTGTAGCGGCTTCCAAAACAAATAATAAAAGTGGATTCAACTCTAATACTTACTGTGTCAATGGAGGAGATTTATTAATTTTCGTATCACCTGGAGATCTTTTCTTTGCTACCAGGTTCTGTCGTTTTCTAGGAGAAACTGAACTTGGGCTGCCACTTTTAGAAGTTGCACGTGTGGTTGGCTTGCTGGGCTGCTTTCTGTAAGACAAAAGAATGATAAATGTACAACAAATGATGAATGTTTAACAAAATACTTCCACTAAGTCACTTCTTGCATTCCAAGTGTAGAAAATTAAGACTGCACAGTATTTGCAACACGTAAATTGAAGTTGCCAAAATAAAGTGAAAAGCACCCACATGCATACTTCGAGACACAAACTGCAATGCCTGGCTGTGTATTTTTGTATCAAAATATAGAATCAAAGGCTACTTTACTGACAATATTTAGTATTTAACTAAACAAAAATCCTAGTTCCAAATCTTCAGTAATTCTTGTACATAAAGTGCCCATGTTTAAAAAATAAGCTTGTAGTGTCAGCAGAAAAATCTAAAGAAGCAAAGGCAAACAGGCAGGAGAATTCGCTTATGTAGTGTAAAGAAAGAACTCGTATCAGCTTCAGCATTCACCAGTTCACAAACGTGAAAATCTGGTTACTGGTGATCAACTTCATAATTTGGAAAACAGGTCATGCAAGTCAGAAAAACTGATAATCCGACAATGCTGAAGATGAAGCAGCAGCCTCTTCCACACCATTATCCCCAAATGCTACTTGTAAAGTGCTGCAAACAGTCTGCATCTTAAGACAGAGATGCTTTGTCAGAGCTAAAAAGGTAGCACTGGAAATCTGGGACAAAAAATCCCCCCCACAGACACACACACATCTATAAATAAAGAAGTAGATGTTTCCACAAGCGATTAGAATGAAATCAGTAATATCTAAACTTGCATGACAGGTTTAGAGTTAGTAATTTGCCTTTACCAAAACAATGCTGTTGTTTGCAAAGCGGTAGTGGTAAACCTTCACGTAACTACTTTCTGTTTCAGGTCCAAAATCATGAGTTCAAGAGCATATTGTGAACAGCACTTCATATAAGCCCCAAAGACTAACATATTATATGACAGCCTTCGGAATGAAGTAAATCCAGTGAATTTACACAAATGTCACCATGAACATAAAAACAAAGCCTAGACTCCAATTCTGTTCTGGAAGACAGTGACGCAAATTAAAGCTTCTGAAAGCTCGTATTGATCTTTTTTCCCACAACAAAGTCAAGAAGATGATCTCTGTCATGATTTAGTTTGCCTACAAAAAGGCAGACCTATGCTAAGTGTGATGAAAAGCAGCTTCTGGAAAACAGAATGCTTGCTACCACACTAGTCTTTTGCAGTAAGATTGCTTTCTGAGCTTGCAGATCCCCACACTAGAAATTAAACACTTCAGCGCTGCAGATTCATGTATTTAATATTTGGAAAAAGAAAGAGACACGGAAAATTACATCTACATTTCCAGCTCCAAATATCAAATGGTGAATTGCGCGATCAAGTCAGAGGTCCCTTTTTATGTGTCAGAACTAAGTGCCTTTAGACCCAACTTCTGAGACATCACTAGGATGAAGATCACCAGTAGGATCAATTCTAATTCTTCCTTTCTGACATATTCAAGTATGCCTTTTGAGACCCTAACAGTTTCCCCACTTCTGCTTTTGTCTCTTCATCCTTAGGAGAGTGGTACTAGAATTAACATCAAAATTTTTTTGGAAGCTCTCATCAACTTAAAAAATCAAAAGAAAAAAAACCATAAAACCACTCAGAAGCAATGAAAAAATCCAAAGAAACCCCACGACGACGAATAAAAGAACCCCCTGCCACCAGTGTCTGTACACACAGTTACCTTTGAGCCTCTAATCTTGTGGCTGATCTAGTTGTGGCCCCAGAATGTGATTCATCATCATCTTCCTCACCATCATCTTCCTCACCCTCCTCCTGCTCTTTTAGCTCGTCTTCGGAAGACGTTAATTTCCGACGTTTTCGTTCTGGCTCCAGGGTTTCTGTCCATGTAAAATTTTACACATGTGCTATAATTTTCCAAAAGCCCTCCAAAAGGATACGGACACTTAGTTTAGAAAAAGTATTCTATTCACAAATCTCATTTTAAATATGTAATCTTCCATCTCCTTTATGCTTCAGCTTTTAAATTCACACTTGTTTGACTTAATCTTGCTAACACATTCATCATAGTTTACTTATGCAGCTCTTAGTCAGAATTCATAGAAAATTCATGAGGCTCTATAGAAGCATCTGGGATGTAGCAATTCTGACATGAGATTACAGCAATTTACACATATTTACATAATATTTACACTAGTTGTAACTCAATGATTTTTCCTCAAGAAAAGAAAATTGAATAAAGACTATCTTGTTGCTATTAGTAAACAGAAAAGCACAGTACTATCTTCCCACTCCACACATTGTTTCATGTTTTTACCGGTTTCCTCTGATTGAAGCGGAGAGCGCTTGGGCTTTCTTCCCCTTTTACGCACAATCATTTCTGCTTTCTCGGCTTCATCTTCCTGAAAATTAAAATGAAAGCAAGTAAGGCTAGAACAATTTTATTTAAATAAAAGAGAGACATTTTTCCTTACATGCTACTTAGAAACTTAAGAATTAAAATGCTTGCACTTACATTTGTTGTTTCTTTATTAGATATGTCTGTACCTAAAAAGAAAGGAAAGAACAAAACTTGATCCTGAACTTCAAACCTTTTGCCAATGTGTTTAAAAAGGAGTTCTTTCAAACTCTGTCAACTTCGCATAAACATTACAAGCTCAGAAAACATTTAAAGTCTCTATCTAATTTATAACATGTCTTTGTTGTATTATGTTATATACAGAGACTGGGACAACAATCAGTTTCTTTTTTTTCCATAGTAAGGCTTTATATGACGGAGATTATTTATTGCTTTGTTGCATATGCGTGGCAAAATAAATTTCTCATGATACTGCTTAAGATCTTGTTCAATCCAGACTCACCCAACAGAAGAAAGTTAATGTAACTGATCAAAGGTAGATCTTGGAGCAGAAACACTTTAAAATTCACAGAAAAGTTTTTTTGGAGTTCCTTTGTTAAGGTTACAAGGAGAAAAAACCCCAAACTTTTACACAAAAGCAAGTTAAACAAAACGCAGAGATGTTTAACTACTCAATAAGAAAATGCAATGAAACATTATTGCATTTGTCCACTGTATTAAGTATTTTACACAAAATAACATATAACCAATACCTATTAGTTCTGTTGTGTTCAAAAAGATATACTTCAAAATCCTGGTATGTTTTGGCAAATTTGTAGCAAAGTGCTTTTTGACTGAAGAATACTCCATATAAGACATGCCTTTCTTAACAGATACAACCCCAACAACATCTTTAGGATGTGAAAATGTAGTGCTTTTGCCTCAAGGTAAGTATAAAAATGTGGAGAAAGTAAGAGACAGTCCACATGATTAACATCTCTGTGGAAAACTAAATTTGTTTTGAGGACTTGTTTTCTCAGTTTTGTTGCATGAACGTTTGCATTTGTTTACAAATAATTTTTTAACCTGCCCTTCAGGTTCATCTGCTTCCTCAATGGATTTTGAAGTCTATTTTATGAAAAGCCATAATTAAAAAGATGCTTTTAAACAAACAGCGCAGTTCAGACTCCACACACATGAAAAATTAACTGCACCATCTAAAATTCACCAAAGTTTGGCCTCCTGCAGACCCCACATGTTCAAATAGCAAAGACAAGTGGAAAGATATCTCACTTTACTTGGCTTACAGCAGTTGTGGAAGGGGAAAGAGCTTAGCTACCACTAAGCTCTTTAATATCCACAGATAATCAATTAGCTGAAAAAAAATCAGAATTTTTTTGCTCTATGCATTTTAAAACAGTTAATGCAATAAATGTGACTGACAGTTGCTGTATAGAATACAATAAGCAGATAATCATAGAATCATAGAATGGCCCAGGCTGGAATGGAAAACAGTCACCGAGAACCAGCTTGATGTGGTACCTACCTGCCTCTGAAGCTCTGCCATGTGCCTATCCACGCAAATAAATTACATGGTGTATTCTGCAATGCATTGTTCAGCACTTAACAGTGCTGCTCTTTCTCTGAAATAAATCCTTACCAAGCTGCTCTTTTTTTTGAAACTAAAAATCACAGTAAGAATTATGGATAAGTCCTCACTGTTCTGTTTACCCTGAAATTTTCACATACTGATAATACTGACTGCCAGGGATGGTGTTTAAGAAGGATCCATGTGATCTTCTTGAAAACCCTCTTCTATTTCTTCCATCTTTTGTTTTATTTGTTAAAGCAGATATCATTTGCTTACCTGTTTGAGGTGGTTTTCCTCTACTTGCAAATATAGGAAACTGCAACTGAAATAAAAACAAAAAAGGTGGGTTTTTATTTAAAGAAAATCAGGAAAATTCAGGATTGCATTAAAGACAGAAACTTGTTGACATTCATAGTAGAACACTGTTATCTGCAAAACTAGAAAGCATGAATATTCCAATGAGCATACAGAAAGTCTGTACTGAGTTTAACAGTAGCATGCATTTTTTCATTTATGATAAAAGAAACAAAAAAAAAATCAGCCCATAAACAAAAGAAATCATAGCAGTTCTGGTAAACTATTCGACACTAAAGTCATGACAATAAAAGACACAAAGTTAAAAGCAGTTCCAGTCAAATACATTTCTGAAAACTTAATTATCAATAACCCAAAAAATGTTTAGTGCGGTCACTGTATGTAATCACACATATAGATTTGCTGAATTACAAATCAGCAGAATTTCGTGTTTACTCAGAACGAAGAAAGAGCTATGTATAATTACACAATCATCTATGACCACTGTCCAAAAAATCCAGTTGCTTTCATCACTGAACTATACTAGAATATCCAGGCTTGCTTTGAAGCAGCAACATGTTCTCAAAATCAGCCTCGGGGGAACTGTCACACGAAGATCCCATCTCACCTCACAGAAGCAGTATGTCAGATGGAGGGCAGATATTGCTCCTCCCAGAGCCAGCCTGTACCTGACTGACACACCAATCAGTTGTCACTAAGAGGTACAAGACCTTTGAAATAGTCAAACTAGAACAAGATGATTTGGTTCCAATCCAAATTACATTTCATTACATCCATATTGGGGGAAAAGAAGAGGAAAGATCAGGAATTCCGTAACAAAACTTCAACAGACCTGTAGAAGGGACAGGACTCAGAGGGCTGCCTGAAATGCTGCAGGGACAGAACACGCAGGGATGAGAATTCCTGCTCCCTGTAGCCTAGGGGACTTCTGGCACCCATGCTAGTCTGTGTCTCGCAAGGCAAGCAGGCAGAAAACGTGATTTTCTACACAACTTAGTTTTCCAAACCAGCTCTTTTCTTGCAATAGCATTCATTCTGACAGAGAGGAATTCCCAAGAAAGAAGTCTTCCACCAGAATAAAGCCAACTAGTTGCACAAATATGCCAGATCCATTACCACCCTGTGCTGTAATCCAGCTGGGTTGCAGAAACATTCCCGATGAAATCCCTTCCTAGCAGTGATAATGCTTCACAGGGTTAAGAAATTAAGACATTGCTGAGCTTTCAAAGACAGAAATGTATTTCATGGGCTCTTAAGTTACTAACCACCATGTCTCTATCTTTTGAATGAACCATACACATTTTAATATAGATAATAAAACTGCGTTACACAATACTTCATTTTGCAGAGATACTATGAGCTATTATTATGACAGGTTCAGCTAAAAATTAGTAATATTTCAAGTTTTCAAAACAAAGCCACCCTTGATCTTCAGGCCGAAACAACTCTCAGCACAAATTACAAGACATGTGGGCAAACAATCAGAATTTCACACTACATACAAGTATATTGCTAGTCAGTATAACACATTTATATTAAGTTTGTTCTACTAAATTTGATCCTGTTAGGTCATTTGCTGTGTTCCGACTTAGTAGTATATTTTGGTTGCAAGATTCAGTTATATTAGGAGATACTAATAGATTTTGTTTGCTTAGACTGAATTAAATTATCATTTTTTCCATAAGATGTTTCTGAAATACCATTAACTGTTAAACAGAGAAATAGCTCTTGAATTACTGTTTAAATGCACCCAAACAAAATAAAGGCACTTACATTCCCAGTGCTCATATCAGCTTTTGACTCCCCACCTGAGGGAAGAAATATGAATTCAGAACTTGAATATCACTATTTTCCTTACTTTTCCACACAGGTATTATGAAGTACTTACCACCAGGCTGTACAGCTTCAAGTGGGTATTTACGAGGCCTCCCCCTTTTTCGTTTCACTACTACAGGTTGATTTTCCTATTAAAAGCAAAGGAAAAAAATGTAATTAACATTTAGCTTTTAAGAAACATAATACAAAGATTGCTGCTAACTTCCTAACGTGATAGTGGCAGAAGCAGTGCTTGTCAGCTAAAAAACAGAGATGAGGGTGGTTTCATAGGAAAAGACACTGTGCTGTTAGGAAATCCACTGATACAGCTGAAAAGAACCAAGACAACTCCCAGTTATAGAAAATTCTCTGTGGCTGGCCTCAGGCACAAAGCATGTCTGAGAATACTGTGTTTTCTGCCTCCTTCCCCCCAACAACTGTATCTCTTGGTCTCTCAAACTCTTTGGTACTTTACAGTACCAAACAAATTTTCACAGCTATCTCTGTGTTATGAAGCCAAAGTTTTAATATTGTTGTTGACAAAATACAAAGTAATTTTCAGTGTGGACCAGCATCATCTCAGTTAGTTAACACGAATAAGACCACTCACCTCTGGAGAATTTTCATTTGATTCTAGATCATGCTTCTCCTTTTCAGACATTTCCTGTTCAATGCTAAATTCATCTTCACACATGCAAGAAAAAAAACAAAACAAACCACAAAGGATTATTAGACAAAGCCACAATATCTGCACTGAAAGCATTATTTCATTCTGCAACCTAAGATTCCCTAAAAACACCTGTCAGAAATTAACACTATTTGCCTTGTACTCCCAGAATGCTTCCCTAACACCAGATGAGTTACGCAGGTCTTCTAATTTAAGGTAAGAATCAAAAGCTCAAGAGCGTGACCCACTGTAAAATGGCAAGATAAATACAAGCCACTATTCAATTTTTCTCCCACATTCCATGAAAAGAGAAGCTGAGGATACAAGGTCATTGCAGTCAAGAGTTTCATGCTCACTGGAGAGACAAAACCATTAATAAGTCAAACTAGCATAAGGGAAGATACATTGTTCACACACAGACAGACTGAAATTACATCAAAGCCAATATTAACACTGTGGACACACCGTCTTTTATGATTTATTTTAGTGCAGTAAGTCAATTACAACCAGGCAACTTGTGCATCTTCTCCTTGTTGATTCCTCTATGGAAACAAATAGGACTGGTTTTGATGGTGATTGGTTTGGTTTTTGGTTGTTTTTTTTTTTTTTCATGGAAGGACACCTCTTATTTCTGGCAAGAGTTAAGAGAAGTTCTTGTTGTCACATGCCCTGATCAATATTTTCCTATCCCTATTGTTTATTTACAATTACCTTTCCTACTCAAGGTACATACTGAAGTAATAAAGGAGTGGACGGGTGACAGAACAGCAGAAACTGCTGTCACTGTTAAAGGAATTAGGATTAATGCATTATTTGATAGCGGTAATAGAACTGATAACAACAAGAGAATATATGCAAGTATTCATCAAAGTTGTTGGGATTAAACTGGGATCAAGTTCCTAACCTCTCTCAGAATCATTCAAATAAACAGAAATCAGCATTCAGCGTGGATTTAGAAAATTGCACAGAATGTGCAGTTTCGTTACCTTTTTCTTCCACAGTTCTTTTAGGAGGTGTATGCTTTACGTCAGTTTCTTCTGCTGTATCACTCGAAATAACTTCCTACAGTATTTTGAAACAATAAAGAGTGTCTTAGTACACATTAAAGATCACTGTCTGTTACTTATATGAAAAAAACCCTCCCACACCCCAATACACAAGTAGTTATTTTATTCATCTAGATTTTTCATCAAAATGGGTGAGAGAGTTCCAAATAGTCTACATGTACTTTTTTTTTTTTTTTGAAACTGTCTGCTCTTTGAAAATTGATTATCATTCTATAGTCAGTTATTTTGTGTTCAAGACAATGCAAAAGTAATTTATAGCTAATAATCATAGAATGCATTGGGCTGGAAGGGACCTCTGAAGGTCATCTAGTCCAGCCCCTCTGTAGCGAGCAGGAACATCCTCAAGCGGATCAGGCTATTCAGAGCCCCATCAAGCCTGACCTTGAACGTCTCCAGGGATGGGGCCTTCACCACCTCTCATAACAAAAATACCTTCCAAAGTAAACTGCTATAGAAATAAAAACTTAGACTTCCACCTTATTTATACTATAATTGCAGAATATAAAAAGTTCTTCAAAATACCTTCAGATTATCAGGTTTTGTTTTGGAACACTGACTTGTTTCATCATCTTCTCTCAGATCTTGACCAATGAGCTGGTTGCCTGTATAGCCAAACAACAGTTCAAGTGTTAAAAAAAGTGCCTTTTGCATTTCTCAGATTTTGATGCCGCTTTTATAACAGCTCGTCATTAGTGTGATTCAAATTATTTTGAAACGCAATACCTTATTTACAAAAATATGAACAGGAAGCTAATGTTAACCCCTCCTTGAAAAGGCAAGACAAAACAATTGCAAAAAAAGAATTCCCTATTTCTTGTATGAGTGGGGTTTTGTGGTATTCATGTGTTTGTTTTTAAAGCTAAGCTCAAAATTGAAATTTGACAGGTACTACATCAAGAAATAAAACATCAACCTGAACTTCAACTCATCCAGATACAGAGGAAGCTGTTAATGCTATGTGGGACACTATTAGGAGTACAGCACGGCTTCTGATTCCTCACTTCATCAAAGAAGATTCTTAAAAGCAGAATAAAAACTGGTATAAAAAATGACACTATTAATTGTCCTGATATTGTTGGGTTTTTTTTCCAATTGTTCTAATGCTGAAAAGAAAAAAAAAAACAGTTGAGAGCAGAGCTTGAATAGATATTACATAGCCAGTCTCATTATGCCAATAAAATGTCTATCTTACTTCTAAGTTACCTTTACCTAGCTTTAACTTGGAAATGTTTATGCCATTCAGTGGACTGACTTCCTTCTCACTTTTTGCTTCTAGACAGGTAAAAGGTTAAACTAAAACTTAGTTCTTTCCAATCTAACAGAAGAAAGCATCCAGCCTCACAACAGCTATAACTTTTCCTTTGATGATCAGCTTTCCTCAACTTCATATTCCTTCCTTGTGCTTTATTTAAAGAGGGCAAAATTAGTAATGATTTTAAAGACCTAACAAAAAAGTTTATTCATTTACAATTGAAAAAGCTACTATACTCTCTTCCATGCAGTATAAAAATTGGTTAACATTTTTATCAAATATATTAAGTGTAATACTAAAAGCTGTTCTGAGAAGAACAACTGCTTCAGAGTTTTAAATTCCTCACGTTCCACAGATCACAGTAGAACTTTGTTTTGCAGAAGAAAAGCTCTACACAAATTCATGTAGTTTTGCATCACTTACATTTTTCTTCATCTGTTGTTCCTGAAGACTCACATTGTATTCCTCTAGATCTCCATTCTTCAGTTATCTGTGTACCCAAGTTTTCCACCTAAACATAAAACACAAAGATAACTCCTTACCTTCGTTTCATAAAGTTTTTAGACACAGAGGGAAGAAAGTTTTCCCTTGTACTTTCAAGTACAATATGCATTAAAAGGGAAGGTAGCAGTATTACAAAAGCAATGTATTCCGAGGGCTCAAGTAATGTTATTACTCTAGGATAGCACCAAGAAAGAACTTCTGACTCATAGTATTTTAGAGAATTTTTAATTGGTATTTTTACTGAAAAAAAAGTCCCAATTTTGGTTAGGCAGCCTATTATATGCTTTAAAAGCAGTTTATTATGGCAATTCATATAAAATATTTTTTGGATTTAAAAGGATACTCTGCTACACGCAGAAACAGAAGTAGCTCACTAGCACCAGAAATGTGGCCAATCAGCATTACAATAATGCTGTAATAAATTACAATAACATCTGCTACTCAAGTTTAAGAAACCTCAAACATTTTTTTAGCTTGTCATCTGTGTTAAGTCTTGTTTCTGCTCCCTAAGAAACACTTCACAAATGCAATTTTCCCAGTTACCCCCTTTTATACTTGTAAGCTCCAAGTACTTGTGAGATCACAGAGCAGACTGCATTAAAATGACAGGTTTCTAATCCTGATCAAAAGCCCCAAGAAAAACGCCTATTTTTGTCCTCTGTTCTCAAGAAGGACAATCAAACTGTGCTTTTCTGCCAGTTAACGACAGTCTTGAAATAGTCACAGACTGTGGAACAATGATACAAGAAGATTTATTTACTGGCAAATTTGAAAGAATAATTACATATCAACCTACACAGCTGCACAGTCTCAATACACATAGGCTCTGAATATACAAAAATAATATTTTCCTTTAGAGAATATTTAATATAAATAGAAGACAAAAAAAAAAAAGAAGCACTTAGTAAATTTAAAAACCAAGAACTTACATGAAAAGTTTCTCCTTCTAAAGTAATATTCCTCTGCAGCAAATCTATTGAAAAATAATTACAAAAATAATTAGAAAAGCTAAGCAAGAGGAAAGTATGGTAATATCCTTGACTTTCAAAAAGTTTATGGATTTCTAAAGCACATGATAAGCGAGAATCATTTTATGGATAAGATTCAGGCAATCATGGAGCTGTCATCTTTGAAATATATGTCAATTTTGACATTTGAAACAGTTCTAGCATTTGAATGAATCAATCTTACCTATCACAACCCCAGATAATCGATCATGGGATGAAGTAAAATATGATGAGAACTACGCTGTAGCCTTATGCTTCCAGAGAACTAAAGTTTGCATAATTGTACTGGTAAGACCTGCCACTGATACAGCACACACAAAGAAATTGTCTAATTGCTAGACTCTACTGTACTCTAAGTCTGACAGAGCAGAGCCCTGGCCTTCCATACCACAAAACCATGGAAAATAATTATGAATCACAAGAGCTGATGAGTGCTCTGCACTTTTGAAAACCTGCTGTAACTTACAAAGCTGTTTCAAAAAGATACATAAAGAGAATAAAGAAGTGGCTCCACTGAGCGTTCTACAAAACCCTTAAAGTCTGATTCATAAAGGTATTGAATATTTTAATAAAAAAAAGGCTGCTAGAACAATTCCAAGCAGTAAGAACATATACCTATGATCCAATAAAATTGCTCTATTCTACACGGAATTTTAAATAATTTGTAGCTAATTTCTAAAATCTCCACGTTTCAGCAACACTTCTTCCCCAGCTATATCGTTTAGTTGCACAATATCTCTTCAATTTTTAGAGCAGTGTCAAATGAAGAGCTAGATCCTGCCCATTCGAACAGCAATGATTTGTTTACATTCCAAGGAATTTTGGACCACTAAACTACTGTGTCTGCTGTTCATACTCATGACAGGACACACATTTGTCTTTCAAACAACTTCCTTTTACGTACGTTGAGCTATATGTATATATGCATGTATATATATATAGAAAGAGATTATCGTGTGGTGGGGGAGAAAAAACTCTCCACCAAGAGCTATAAAGCATTATTCTTCAGCATGTGTCATATCCAACATGATTTACACAATAAATGGATTTTTGTTAAAACATTTTACATGAAGCAAGATTATCACAGCTAGTTCAATCTGCACATTTTAAAATTTAAGTACTGTCTGCCTGGGCGACTGAGTGACACGAAGCGGCACAGTTTCTCACACACTTCAAAGAAACCTCACAGTACAGAAAAACTGGTTCAGGTTTTGGATCTACTGTGCTGAAGACCACATTCTGCTGAAGACCACATTCTTCTAACTCATTCTCAGGGTTTACATTTTCTTGCTAGTGAGCAGAGCAAGTCTCTTATCACTTAAATGAGTACACATTAAACCAGCTATGTGAATTTGACCTACCCCAAGAATAAAAAGGAATCCAAAATTTTACACCAATTCTCATCTCTCATCTTACTCTTACTTTTCTTTCCTGTTCGGTAAATTGTTATTTTGGCATACATTTCTAAAAATTTAGAAACAAAAACGGTGTGCCTTTTCATAGCATTTGGGCTTTCAGTTGCAACTTTCCATAAGAGGAAATGCATCTTTAACCTCTTAGGACTCTATATGCAGCAGGATTGCTGGAACCTCTTGGAATTCCCTTAGATTTGCTTGTTACTCCATTAACTGAGGATTAACTCTCATCCGGTAGTGTTATAAACATCTCTGCAACACATCTGGAGCACAAAATCCATCAAGATGGGAACAAAGTAGGGGTTTGTTTCTGCTCTAATAAGAAAGCCACACATTTTAAAATAATTTGGTTTTGAGAAACAGGGATTCTTTTTTTTTTCCTATTGAAGATTAATTTAATACAGGAATTACTGAGAACAGATCCAAGATGACTAATTGAGATTTCTAGCTAGGTGACTATCTACTTGTAAGTGCTCTTCAAATTTCACTGCATGGCCAGATACAAATTAATTTTCTGGAGAGCAAGGGAAAAAAACATAAAAATCTTTCTGTAAAACCTCTGTGACTTAAGTCACATAGCAATTACTCCTGTCATATGCTCACAGGGCCTGACACAACACCCAAAACAAGGATTAAGTTTATGAGGAAGACAGTCATTCTTTGGGGATGCTTTTGTATGTTTCCTGGGCAAACGTTCTTTTGTGCTTATTGATTTTAAATAGAATGCTAGCAGCCTAATTTTTTAAAATACTAAATGCTTTTCACATTTCTTTAAGCATATTGTATTGGAAGAAAAGGCTGACTCTGCTTTTCCACAAATCAAATGCAAAGCTATGTGAGCTCCTTGAAACAGTTCAAGAAGATTTCTGCAGGCTTTGCTTTAATCCCTCTACACTCAGTATACATCAGATCTACAACCCTCCCATCATAAGTAATAGTCAAATCAATATGAAAAGTAAGTTGCTATCACTATAAAAATTACCTTTTTGAGGCTCTTTAGTATGAAGATCCACATACTCCTCTTCCCTTCTCGGACTTTCAGGTTGTTGTGGCTAAATACAAAAATAGAAAGAAACAAAAATATTGCAGACATCCAGAACAAGTGTACCTCACTCTCCTCCCTCATAGCATGATGAACATTGTCTTAGCACGATCTGTAGAAGTATTCAAAAGCTTTCTTATTAAGATAGCAGTACAAAGATTAGTAGGGAACACTGGCAGAGCTAAGTCAAATTACTGTTGAACAGTGCAGTGTCTAACCTTGATCTTAGAGTTACCACTGGTAACAGTCAAGGCCTAACATCTTATTATTATTTTTGTTTTACTATTTATATATATTAATA